CTTTCACCAACATCTCCCTCCCCTTAAGGCTCCTGGAATCCTAGAGTTGGAAGGGGTCACGAGGGTCAGCTAGTCCAACCCCATCTTTTGTCCAACTGGGGCTCGAACCCACAACCCCGAGATTAGGAATTTCATGGTTTATAGATGGAGCGATCAGGAGCTCTTGCTTTAACCTCTTGATTCTCTTATGCCGATTTCGTGCACACACACGGGGTGGGGGTGAGAGAGACTGTGTTCTCCTTAAGCCATAGGCAAGATGTTTTCCCCCGAAACAGATATTTGTTTCATTTAATTACACTTACAAGCCGCCTATGAAGCATAGTCCTGTAGGTGACATGCCGCAATGGAGTCCGCCAAAATTAAGATGCCAGTTAGAAAATAAGCAAATAAAGCAGAAACTTCTGTAAATAAACAAAAGTTCATTCATTTATTACATCTATTGAATTTTCATGCCCTCTTTCTCCAAGAAACTCAAGGCTTTGTTGCCCACTTCCTCATTTAATCCCCACAACAAGGTAGGTTGGACTGAGAGGCAGTGACTTGCCCAAGGTCACCCAAGTGGGGATTTGAACCCTGGTTGCCCAGGTCCTAGTCCAGCACTCTAACCACTGCACCACATTGGTAGCAGCATGCATGTGCACCCACACACAAGCAAACACACTAATCCCCTATGGGTTAAACTGGGGGTACTCAAGTACTGTCCAAATTTAGAATAAAAATAATAACCAATATCATCTTTAAGATACATGGCAACAATCCTAAACCTACTTACCTGGAAGTAAGCTCCCCTGAAATCAATAAGACTTACTTCTGAGTAGACATGGTTAGGATTGTGCTGTGATATCACAAATGTTAAAAGAGGTTAAGCAGCCTGGATGAACAATGTTTTTGTGTGACACCAAAAAGATGTGACTTTAGCTGCCAGGAGGGTTTCCCTAGGGAGAGCATTCAACAGCTGGGGACCACCACTGTTTATTTAACACAATCAGGAGAAGCCTAGAGCATCCTTCTGCCTCTGTCTGATGAATTATCTATGGGAGATGATGGATGTTTCTTCCTCCTCCTTATTCTTGGCAGAATTATACACCCTTTCCCTACTGTCTGATCTGCACCCAGATCCTCCTGTTCTGCACCTGGCTAGTGCCCTTCCAGGCTCTTCAGTCAGGTAAATACAACCAAATACAGTTATTTTTGCTGCTTGGTTGTTAATAATAATAATAATATGATATCTCTCCCACAACCAATTTAAAAACATGTTAAAGCTTACACCCCTGAATAGAGAGGAAGCATTGCCCAGTGAGAGGAGTACTGGGCACTGATTTGTGTGTCCAGTGCTTAAGCATCTGTTCTACCGCTACCTTGAATATACTGCATGAAGTCGCCTATTCCTGTTTGTAAACTGATGATTGCACAGCTCTTTGGTGAAGGGGGAAATGGGGAAGTGTGTGCACGTGCACCCTTGTGTATTTGTGTGATACTCCATTTATTCTAGCTGAGCCACATACATTGTGAATTCTTCTCCAAATAAATTCCATTTTTAATTTGATCAGCTTCTGTCCAAAACCCAGCAAAAGCTGGCATCCACTAAGGAGTGAGCTTCGCTGAACACAGTAAGACTTGCTTCTCATGAGTAGGCATGTTTAGGATTATGTTCATGGCTGCAGTACTATGTGCATTGACACTGGAGGCATCCTCGCTGAACATAGTAGGAATTGCTTCTACTTCACCTTCACGTGACAGCTCCTTTTAGACCTGACTTCATCAACTGAAGTCTCCCTGTCCTCCTATTTACCCCAGCTGCAGGATCAACATTATTCTTTAGCTATCCTCTGCTGTTAAGAATTTCCTCCAACCAATTCCCAGCTACTAATTACATAAGGCCTAATGGCCACAGAATGAAAGCTAGATAGCATGGTGAGATTTGATTTTTAAAAAAATGGTGCTCTTGCAAAGTGTTGTTCACAAGGTTGCAAACTATGAGTTTGCCTGATGTACATTGTACTTCTGAGCACAGGCAGTCTACTAGCCTGTGTAGACATTGCATTCTTTTTCTTGGCTTATAAGGGGGGGGGGGAGTGTTTTAGCTGGTAGACAAGCTGGAGACAATTAGGTTTACAGTAAAGGGAAGTGTAAGCAAGTAACTTCAGTTTAACTGTAGTGTAAGGTGAAAAGAAAGGCAGGAGCTACTACAATCCTATGCACACTTACCTGAGAATAAGGCTGCACTCCTATACATCAGGAAATAATTTTCATTGAACCCAATAAGACTTATTTCTGTAGGGTTACACTATAAATCTCATTGAAATCTCTCTTGCTACAAAGAAAATATGACTAGGTTATTAGTCAATGGGTCAGTTGACTACTACCCATGGATAGGATGAGGCTAAATGCTGTCAAAATAAAGGAAGCCAGGGTGGAGGCATCTCCAGTGGTGACTGGTAGGACAGAAGGCACGGAGGCCAACAGTAGATGGAGCTAGAGCCAAAGACAGACAGGGTCAGCTAATTCTAGGTTTGCTCCTTTCCTCCTCCCTGCTGACACTGACAGTAGGAAGTCGATAGCCAGTGTCGCCCGCTTGCTTGTATTTAAATCCGAAGGCACGGAGGTGGCAGATCGGTCGGTGGGGCACTGCCCCATCTGCCCTAGTGGACCAGCCTCCACAGGCGACAAACCCAAATGGCACACAGCAGTTTGCGGTAAACGCGCTGTCCGTTTTCCTTTGGTGGGAAAAGCTGTCCATGGTACGCCCATCTCGCCCGCTTGAAGTAAACGGATTGTAAAGTCTTGCAGAGCAAAACTGCGCTCCCCCCTCAAATCCACAAAGGTTCTGCCTCGCAGGATCCTGACTCAGGATTGGATTGGCACCGTGTGACCATAACCTTTGGACTAAGAGAGCACCCAGAACAAATCTCACCGGGATCATGACTCTCCCTGGGTGGTGGAGCAACAACAGCTGAGGCGGTAAAAACCAGAGCCTTGCCTTAACTGCCACCGAACAGTATAGATGAGCTTCATGCTCGGCGAAGCCTTTTGCCTTCATCCAAAAATGAGCAAGGCACTTCTGGGGGTGGGGTACCGAGCGCTGCGCTTTGCACGTGCTCTACGGCAGCTGCTCCTCCCCTTTTCCACACGTTTGAGAACATAGACCCCCCCCCATCCTTCCTGGCTAGGCAAAGTCGAGCTGTCTAGAAGGACTCCCTCACCTAAGACAGAGAGGCACTTTAGACATAGCACACAGCTGTGTCTTTTATTGGGGATCCCCCGGCCCAGATATGGCTAGACTAAAGCTCCCCTCATTCCTTTGGGGCTGACCGGAGGGAGCGGCCATATTTGGAAGGCCACCCACCCACCCAGCACCCACCCACCCACTCCCCTAGCTGCTGTGGCCTGGGCTCGCCCTAAGTGGTCGTTCAACGTGAGAGAGGAGCCAAACTCTGCCTATGCTCCGGAGTACTATCTCGTACTCGTAGTCTTCCCCACACGTCCAAGTCGACCCGTGTGGGGAGGCGGAGGAGCGTGGGTGCATAGGATCCAACTCCTAGGGCCGAGGTCCCTTTGCCCCTCTCCAATAAAACACCCACCTGCAATTCAAATGGGGTGTGAGCATCGCGTCTTTGTGATTGATTATGCAGGGCGTGACACCCCCCCCCATATATTATTCAAGTCGGCCCCCTTGGGTGTGTGGGTCGCCTTGTAAGACGAAGCGTGAGGCATCGGTTTCCTTTTCTCTCTCCTGCGCCTGACTTGTGCCTCTCCGCGTTGTCTTCGCTGCGTTTGGGGTGTGTGTTGAAGGGGAGGGAGAGGGGACGTGGCTGCCTCTTGTGCAGCCGATCCCTGCCGGAGCTGTGTGTGTGTGCGCGCGCGGTCGCTCGCGTGTCTGAGCGCGCTCTCGTCGCCCGGGAGAGATTTATTGGCTGGCTCCTGCTGAAGCACGCTTGAGTAACCCGAGCTGCTGCGAGCCGCTCCGGAGCTGCCCGCAGGCGGCTCGGCGGGGACGCGTCGCCACACTCACTCTCGCCGCTCTGAGCCCGCTCGACGCCGCGCCGGAGCGACCCAGGCAGCCTCGGCTGTTCCTTGCAAAAGGGCGAGGAGGTTGAAGGGCTGGGCTCGGCAAGGAGGAGCAGAAGCGAGGCGGAGAGAGAGAGAGAGAGAGAGAGAGAGAGAGACGCGCCCCGGCGCACCTCCATCGCCTAGGCGAGTCGCCCTCGTCGCCGCGCTGCGCCTCGACGCGCCCCTGGCCGCCTCCCTGCCCACTCCATCCATCCCGGCCCAGAGCGGGTCAGGTTCGCCCCGAGGCGCAAGACGAGCATGGAGCTGAGTCCGGGAGGGCAAGCGGCGGCGCGCTGCTGAGCTAAGCGAGCGGCGAGCTGCCCCCGCAGCCCGAAGGGACGATGCTTTCTCGCAAAGGCTAGCTCGAGAGCCAGGCGCCCAGCGAGCGAAGCGCGCCCGGGAAACGGAGCGAGCGAAAGCCGCCGCCACCGAGGAGTCCTCGCCGCCGCGCCTGGGCTGGGGGAAGGCGACGCGCGAGGGGCACCATGCCTGTTCGCCGAGGTCATGTGGCACCACAGAACACCTTCTTGGGGACCATCATCCGCAAATTCGAAGGGCAGAGTAAGTTCTCCGCCAGCCTTGGCGTTTCTTGCGCAAGGGGGAATGGGGAAAGGGGGCTGGGTTGGTTGTTGGGGGGGGGGGGTCTAGGGCAGGCGGGCGAAGTTGAGCCAAAGGCCGTCAGACGGGAAAAGTCTGAGCTGGAACCCAGAACAGGTCTCAGGGTGGCTTCCCTTCCCATCCTTCCTATCTGGTCCCGAAACATTTCGCTTAAACTCTCAGCTTGTCATGCAGTGAACTCTTTACCATAGCTATATATACCTGCCTGTCCGCCTTGGGACCGATCAAGTGAGTCAGAACGTACAGAAGGCTTGCTTATGAAATCTCCCATTTTCTCCATCGGGAGTGGGGTTTGAAGTAGATTGGGATGTCCTGGGAAATGCCAGCAGAGAGAACTAGCTCAGGGGCAGAGCATCTGCTCTGCATGCATGCGGAAGGTGCCAGGTTCAATCCCTGGCATCTCCAGGTGGGGTGAGGTTCCCCTCCTGCTTAAAACCCTGGACAGCAGCTGCCAGTCTAGATTAGTGGTCTGATTCTGTTCAAGGCAGTTCCTATATCCCCAAACAACATGCACCTTCCCACCTTGACCCTACTGCCCAGAGGCTCCTTGTTTAGCATTTGCTTATGGAAAAGTTTCCAGCAGGAGGATTCGGAAGGTCTTTCCAGAGGAAACTTTAACTAAGATGGATTTGGATTTCTGCCTGACCTGTAGGACCTTTTCCTAATTTCAACAGCAGATTGTGAAATAGGTGCAGTGGACCGCCTTGCCTGCAGTGTCACTCTGAGCATGTTTACTCGGAAGTAAACCTCATATAGATTTAGAAGAAGCTTAGTTCCTAGTAAATGCGCTTGAGGTTGCAGTCTTAGAGTGCAATCCTATGCAGGATTTACTCAGGAGTAAGCCTCATTGTGTTCAGTGGCACTCACTCTCAGTTAAGTGTGCATCGGATTGCAGCCTTTATCCTTTGGATGCAGGCAATGATTTTAAGAAGATACTGTAATGCCTGGTCTGGTTTGGTTCTCTAATACTGTGAACACCACACACTGAAACAATACGTTGGATGCATGCACATTCCCTTAAATACGTAGTAAAATTAAAATACGTTGAAGGATATTTTAGGAGTAACATGCATTTGCTGCAAATCTGTCTCATTGTAATAGACTCATAGCTCACAATAAAGGTCAGATCCTGCAGTCCTCTGAGATGTAAGTAGCCCATTAAAGTCAGTGGATTTATTTATCGCTGCCAGGGTGTGCATAATGAGACCATTGAGTGACAGGAGCTGCAGTTGCCACAAAGAAAGCTTGTAAATAATCAGGCACCCCATCTGGGATGAGCTGTAAATTACAGGTATCTGACAGAATGTGCAAAGGGTTGAGAGTAACCTATTATATAGGGTGTATTGCAGCCTTTTCAGATTTCCCATCATGCTTCCAGGTGTAAACATTAGGACAATGGCATGTTGTGTTGCTCACGGGGGTAAATCATTCACATTTCTTCCATGTGATAGTTTTGATGCAGCTTGGGAGGGAAGTCAGGTGAGCGACTGAATCATGTCTTGGTTCATATTGTGAAGACAGATGCAGCTTCAAAGCTGCGCTTGCCATTAAAAATAGAAGCTTCAGCAAAAAATAAATAAATAAAAAGCACAAAAGAGCAGCCAATGTCATTTTGGTAGAGAGAACCCTTGAATGAGTGTTTCAAGAGAAATGCCTGAGTAGCGTACATTGTTACACTTGGACTGTATAAGAATGATTGAGGTTACCATTTTCTCTCCCAGTGATCTAGAAGTGTGGCTGGTTGCACACTTAAAGTTGCAGTCTTGTAATCACATACTCAGGAGTGACATCCATTGAGTTCAAAGGGTCTTGATTCCAAGTGCATGCTTTGGATCACACTCTAAGCCTGTCAACTGCACTGGGTCTGAAACAAACTGTAAATCAGTTGGAGCAAGAGAACTTGCTTCTTGGTCAGCTGCTCCTGAATGGAGTGTATGCGCTGTTCTTTGCAACTTAACCCTGCAATTTGGCATCATTTTACAGAGAAATAATTGTGGCATAATTTCGTACAGCAATCAGCGTGTATGGGAAGCCATCCATTTAAGCTGGCAGTGCTGTGTGGGAGAGTGCTGGGAGGCCAGTAGTGGCCCAAGCAGGAAGAGGGGAATACTGTAGTTTTCCTTCTTGCTTTACATTGCTATTGCACTGTAACATCTCACAATGAATCAAGTAAAAATCAAGCTTGTATACTTGTCTGGTTATGTGACAAGTAAGAATTGTCTCCAGGTGAGACCCTGAATCGAAAAGAGACCTCTCCCTGAGACGCTGGAGAGTGCCTACCAGTCAGAGTGGACACTTAGGAGCTAGAATCAGTGATTCCCAAACTTGGGTCTCCAGCTGTTTTTGGACTACAACTCTCATCATCCCTAGGAAGCAAGATCAGTGGTCAGGGATGATGGGAATTGTAGTCTGGAAACAGTTGGAGACCCACGTTTGCGTAACACTAAGGAAGATGGACAAATAGATAAGGCAGCTTCCAAGAATCGAGTCCTATTCTCTACTGACCAGCGTGGAAGCTTTTGCAAACTGAATAGACTGTTCACTCTCTTTTAAAGTTTTGTTTCTCAATGCTCCCCAGATTACTAATGTAACTGATGACTAACATAACCAACAAGGTGGCAAAAAGGCTAATGGAGGTTTTTTTTAAAATGCACCAGTTATTTTTTGTGGAATTATTTGCAGTGGTGTTAAATTATTAGTAAAACCTCCCTATTCCACTTTTCCTGTTGACCTGTCTGTACCTAGGGTTTAATTAAACCTGGAGTTTGCTTCACAATCCCAAACTTTCGGGACCCATGGGCACCACAGACACAAACGCATATAAACCCCACAACCCATTCTGTTGACTACTCCTTTTAAGCCTAGTTTCAGAAAGGGACAGACCCTGTTGGTGCTTGGGAAGGCCTCTGTTGGCACCACATTGGCAATCCCTATTACGAGTCCTATTATGAAGCCTATTTCCTAAGCTTTGGCAAGCAACCCCATCTAAAATTTACTCCCTTCCCTCCAGGCTACTTGGATATCCATCCTAGCCAGCCTTCCCTTGTTGGACATTTTCAGCACAACAAAAGCTACGGTCATATTTGTATTTGCTGATAAGTTTTGCAATAAAGGTTCCTGGATCAAATCCCGCAGCAATCCAGGTGACTTTGGATTTAATTCATTTACTTTTTATTGATTTTTTTTTAAAGACCTCTGGTACATTTGTGTAGTGTTGAATATCTACTGAAGTTCGCTATACTGTAGCAGTCAGATGCAGAAATATCTCCTGACAGGCAGCTGTGAGGTTTTATGAAATGTTGCACAATTACTGAAAAATGCATTACTTTTTTATTGCAGATAAAAAATTCATCATTGCTAATGCTAGAGTGCAGAACTGTGCTATCATCTACTGCAATGATGGGTTCTGTGAGATGACTGGATTCTCCAGACCAGACGTCATGCAGAAACCATGCACCTGTGACTTTCTTCATGGACCAGAGACCAAAAGGCATCACATTGCCCAAATTGCTCAGGCTTTGCTTGGGTCAGAGGAGAGAAAAGTGGAAGTCACCTATTATCATAAAGATGGTAAAGTAGTTTCAATTTTTTTTTAATGTCTTTGACAAATTGGCTTCCTTTGGAACTGGTTTTGAAAGATGGCTTCTTTGATACTACAGGTCAGAGTTTTGTTAGGAGTCAGTCAACATAAGATATGCTATGTTGTGTGAAACCTGCATTTATACAAAGGCAGCTAAAATAAAAGTACAGTAAATACAATGGGCCAGTCATCCAAATAATGCAAGACCACATTAAGAAAACTTTTGATAGTGGCTTACCTATACAATGCACCAGCCCAAACCTAAAACTATTTGCCTCAACCCTAGTGGAGTTGCGCTTCTTTCATATGCAATGAAACAAGGTTGTTATTCTAAGGGCATTTAATCTGAGGTATCATGCTCCACTCCAATCAGTGCAAGTTGCTTCTGTTTACATGTCCTCAGGATTGGTGTGTAAGCAGGTTTGTTTGGAATTTGCATAAAAGTGATGTAAGGTAGTTGTTTCAAATAGTAATTTTCAACTTCCCCCTCCAGTTTCCATTCCAGGAAGTGATTTCTTTTTTTAAAGAATAGAAATAACTCTTGACCGGGGGAATCAAGTGTTTGCATGATTTAGATTTTTTTTCACCTTCAGGTGTTAGTATGTGTTAGGCAGTCACCATCTGTAGGAACAACTGCTGAATTTTGAATGCATTTTTATCTCTTTTGGCAAAATACAACATTTTTTTGTCATGATCACCATCATAATCATTTTATTTCAGATTGTACAAAAGAGTTTAGAATTCATATCTAATTCATCTGTATAATATGTTTTTATTAATTGCCCTTGAATTCATTCATGAAATTTATCAATATTGTCTCATTTTATGGATAGGAAACTAAATCTATGAGATTGGTGAGTGACTTACTCAAAATCAATGTAGTGTCTACATTCAAACAAGGAATTATGTGTGCTTGAAGCTAATGAAAACACTGGGCTTATGTATATGTGCTGAATAGTGACTAATGATGAGATTTGAGGTCATTTCGGGATGACCTGTTTATTGAGCATCCATCCTGATTTATTTATACAAAGTTTGCAGGGAGACTAGGTGACGTTGGCTATTTATGGAGCATTAGTTCTGATTTGTTTGTGGGGAGGTTAAATGATTTTGCCACAAGGAAATGCTATCCCTCACTTTCCAGTGCATCATACTCCTTATCACAAAAAGTTTGATTGGGAGGGTAGAGGATCAGGCATGCTGCCCTGGAACTCCTAACCAAATAATATTTAATTGCACAACCTGAATTTCCAGGTTTGTGATTGAATCCTAGCAGAAAATAGCTGCAGCCTGAAAGTGTTTCCTAGTTTCAGATCTACCGACAGAAATATCCTTACCAATGTACCCGAAAGCAGAATGAGAATGAAAGCAATGCTATTGTTGATCATATAATCTCTGACAGTCATGTAACCTGTGGTGTCCGTTTTTTGTTGTGTTGCTGATCCCTGGCCCTCGCGAGTGACGCTGCTGTTTAATGAAGGAAAGGAGATTCCGTGCTGAGAGTGTTGATCTGTATGGATTGTTTCACATCATGGAAAAAAGCATGCTCAGGCATACGCTTAGGTTAAAAGGGGCACCTGACTGAATAAGCTACTCAGCAGTCAAAGTAAAGAGCAGTCGAGTCTTGCCCTGAAACAATCAGCTTTAAACAAACACCCTGTCATACTGCTTCAAATACTGAGTAATTACTCTGGAGAGAGTTTAAAAAGGAGAAAAATGGATGGGGGAGAAGGATCTACCTGTTTCAGATGGAGAACAGTTTGGCGATTGTTTTTAGAAAGAAAGATTACAGGCTGACTGAAATATACTTGACATAATTAGTCATGGCATGAACTAAGAACAATACAGTATTATGCTTTTGGTGGGGGGGTGCAAGGAAAATAAGCATGCATGTTCATTTGTCATGATGCAGCCTGATAAGGGAATGGTGATGCTAATTATTTCCGAAGGTTTAAATTAGTTTTCTTTTCTGATTATTCAGCATTATAAGGCAGACATTAAACAAATCCGAATAATGCATAAGCCTGTTGTACTCTATTTTTGTTTGCACTGTGTACATGTATTCAAAGGGGAAATGCAAAGTAATCTCGTATATTCAAATTTGGAGCTTTAATTAGCTTTGGAGGCCTGCCAGCCTGCTGTTTACATTCATTTGAGAACTGCAGTGATAGAGGAGAATCAGGCTTTAAAGCAACAGTGACACATGTGGCGCTTTGCTTCTTCTCGCTGGCATTGCCAAACTGGCATTTGGGTACATGGGTGGTGGGTAGAGTTACTCCTGTTGGTGCTAAGAGTATAATATGGAACCCTTAAAAAAACCCCAGAACAACAGCTCTGCATTTGATTCCATTCTGAATGTTCAAAGAAAATGTATCTGTTGATCCAAAGGCTGTGGCTTTCAGTGGGTGCAAATGTTGCTTGCTAATTTGTTTTAGCATACTTGAGATATTGCCCTTTTTCCAGGCTTCTCAGAGCAGCTTATATAAAAGTTGCCCAACATTTATTCTCACAACAACCCTGTGATGTAGGTTAGACTGAGAGATAAGGCATGCCTCCTACAAATAAGATCCAGTACAAACCTAAACATGCTAATTCAGAAGTCAGTCCCCTAGATTCAATGGATTTTACTCCGTGGTAAGTGTGTTTAGAATTGTAGCTTTGAACTAATGGAATGGCCATTTCCTTTGTAGTAGTTCTCTGACAGGGCCTAACTGCTAATGGGGAATACTTTGCATCTTTGCTACCAAGCTACAGTTCCCAAGATCCAGTTAAACTTATATAAAATATCTAGAACTGTAATGCAGATGTGAACATAGTGACTGGTGCCAAGACAACCTTGGCTTACTGGTGATTATAAATCTGGGGTTCCTTGTTTCATACCTAACACTCTGTCCACTGCAACCCTCTGCTTCTCCTGGCTGTGCTTCTCTCTTTCTCAAAAGAACTAGAGTCCAAGAAAGGGTTTGGCCCTTGGTGCTACTAGAGAATCATATCTCTTTCTACAGGACAACAAATTGTCTATTAAAACAGCATGGCAGGTGCCAAACACTAGGGCAATATCCACTCTCTTGGAGCTCCATCCTGGGAGGCCGCCACCTTCCTGTGCGGTTGGTGGAGGGGATGGTTACCTGGTGCCACTCACCTCTGGCCATGCTGGACCCTCCATTTGGGGCAGGCCTCACTTGCAAGGCCAATCGGGCATGGGGGCTGCTTCCTGCCCATCCCTGGCATATTTAATGGGGTGGCCAGATGCAGGCCACCCTCTTTGCTGCATCTGTGGGCTTTGTGTGGTCCACAGGTTGCCAGTTGGTGGACAGGGCCCTAGAGGCCGAAGATGCCATGCCTGATATATTTTATAGCAAGAAGAAGGGAAATGCTAGCTAATGGGACTGTCACCCCTATAAGGAGCTCAAAGCAGGTATTAGCCCCTGAAGGGGAGTGTTGGGGGAAACCCTTTCCTAAGCAGAACCCTGAGACTTTTAATGAAATGGATCCAGCGTAGTGTCCGGGTAGCAATAAATAGAAACCATGGCAGTAGCTGCAGCAGCTCCAGTCACATGCTTTGTTATGCCATTGATTTCAATGGGATGTGCATATTTATAGAATTGCAGCAGCTATGTTTCACCCTGTGAACCTTTGGGATGAGCATTGGTGCTTACTTTCTCTATGCTTAAGATGTTGGCAGGTAACTATCAGTGGATATTCAGAAGTAAGACCCATTGAGCCAGGTGGAACTTACTCTCAGGTAAGTGTTATAGGATGGCAGTCCACATTTCAAACTTTCTGAAAGCTTCTTATGACATGCTCCCCAGAGAGGCTTGCCTGACACCATCATTACATGTGTTTAGAGGCCAGGTGAAAACATTCCTCTTTACCCAGGCCTATGGCTATTAAATAATCTACAGCCTGTAAAAGTGTGAGGGAGAGGACTGTTATTACGATGACTATTTTATTATCAGGCTTTCTGTCAGTATGCTTTTTATTATCTTTTTATCACTGATGTTCTGTAATGTGTTTTCAATGTTGTATACCACCCTGGGGTCTTTTGATAAAGGGTGGTATATAAATTGAATTAATAATAATAATCAACAGTGCTATTTTTCTGGAAAAAGAGGTGCCGGAACTTACCACCTTGTTCTCTTATAATGGCAAAGGCGCCCACCTGAGGGGTGCCAGAACTGAGTTCCGGTGAGTTCTGGGTGGAAAAAAAGCCCTGAAACAAACAAACAAACAAACAAACAAACAAACAAACAAACAACCACTACCCCCAGTCTCTCAGTTTGGCGGGCCTGAAGTGTCCCTGGGTTAATTGCTTCACCTGGAAGCTGGATTTTTCATGAACCAATCAGCCAGTCATCAGTCATTGGGATTTAGGAAGCTGCCTTAAACTCATTTAGACCATTGGTCCATCTCACTCAATATTTGACGAGATTTGACGCTGAGGAGGAGGAGGTGGGAACTGATCCTGTTGCTGAGGAACAGAGTCCAGAGCAACAGAGTCCAGCGCAGGAGCGGCCCAGAACCCCTCCAAAGGCTACTGTCAAGTCTGAGCCAAAGAGTGAGCCATCCTCACCCACAGGTCCAGCTGTAAGGTTCAAAAGACACAGCAGGTCAGAGGGGGAGTTTTCTGACACTGGGGATGGTCTAGCTGGCCCTAGTGGGTCAGAGGGGTGCCAGAACTCACGCTGAGGAGATCAAACCTGACAGGTTTGAAGCCACAAGTGTGTGGGTTGGTGTGGCTCAGTGAGAACCTGAAACCTTTGAGGATGTTCAGAAACTGCCTCAGGAAGAAGCCAGCAAATGGCATGAGGCGATGCAGAAGGAGATGAACCATCCTCTGCTACCAAAGCAGATATGGATAAAAGACAGTTGGCCATTTCTGGAACCACAAAAGGTTGAACCTCATGGTCCAAGAACGAACAGTCTACCCTGACTGGCAGCAGTCCTGCCTGGTGATGCTGGTGACTGAACTAGGGATTTTCTGCATGCAAAGCAGATGCTACCCCTCTGAGCTATAGCCCCTTTCAAATAAAATGTCGTCAATTGCTGCATTCCTAACACCTTCAAGAATTACCAAAGTTAACATCTCTACCTGTCAGTAAATGGCTCTCAGCTTCCTGGGATGTTCCAGCGTTATAAGAAGCAATTTCCATGAGAAGCAGGAAGAAGAAAGGAGATTTTAATAGGAGGTTTTAATGTTGGCCAAGCCACAAGCAATTGATTGAATTAAACTGACGAAGAGTAACACTTCTACGGTCCATGTAAAATCACCATGGAGAGTTATGCATATACCCTGTGGGAAAAGGAGGCTCGCATTACAGAACCCTGCTTAAACTGTATCTATATCATTTTTGTAGTTCCCTCCCCTTTTTTCTAATAGAACCATTTGTCTAAAGTTCAAAGTCTATATGTATATTTCATTCCATGCCATGAGCTAATCCTTTATGGGAAATTAGTAAAATAACCAAGGTGGTGGGGCATAATCAAAAGGAGCACTTGAAAAACAGGCCAAACTTTGATGTATAAAAATACTTTAAAAAAAAGAAAAGAAGTGATTACATACATCTCAATGGAACAGCTAAATAATCTGCATTCCCTTTGACTGCAGTCACTCTGCTCAGCGTAGGAAAGGTGTGTGTCTTAAATTATCAAGGTATATGAAAATCATATAACCCATTATGCCTAAATAAAGTGTTTTCCAAAGTTGCCCAATAGGCATTAGTAGCTATTAAAATTCAGAGTAACAGGGAACAATGTTCCTCCTCATCTGCTTCATAACATCCTTTCTACAATCAGTTTATCTTTAGTGACTGATCTGATTAGGTATCTTTGGAGGGGAGATACTGTTTATGCAGTATATCAATATTTTTGTTTTAATAAAGTTATTTGCCATGGAGATGTGTGACAGCTCTTTCTCTGAGGACTCCCATTTCTCTCTTTAAGCCATTATTGCATAAATCATACTTGACAGCTGTAAAATATTGCTTGGGGTGATAAAGCTGTAAAGCTTTGACATGAAAACTATAATTGTGAGGGGATTGAAGGTGGGGGGTTGTGTATTTACATCAAGGAGGGCTGTATCCTGTCAACCCTTTTCATGTGTGATGGGTGTGCTGTAAGATGATGAAAGTCAGAGGTACCTAAGTGTAGACATCCTATGAAGTCTGATTATTGACAGGAGAGTGAAGTTGCTCAATGCTGCTGCGTAACCAGAGAGATTTTGTGGAGGAGGAATACAAGGGCAGGACGTGGCAGTGACAGATAACATGACAGCCGGAAAGAATTACTTCTGACAGTTCTTTTGATATTCCAAAGAGCGAAATAGTATTGCCACCATCTTTTGTTGAATTGTGCAACACGGAGGGTTGATCTGATAAACAACAGAATTTTGCTTCCCAGAATCACTGAAGTTTCTAATCAATAGTTTAAAGGGCAAGGGGGGAAATTAATTTATATACTCAACAACACATTGTGTTTATCATTTGTACAATGCATCTTACTCAGCCTTATGAGGCTGAGTCAGTAATACGTTCTTATGGGTGATGGCAAGGTCCAGTAGCGATAAGCAAACAAAGAGAGAATGCCTCGGAGCATAGGAAGTTGCCTTAAACTGAGTCAGACCATTGATCCATGTAGCTCAGTACTGTCTCCACTGACGGACAGCTTCTCTCTGGAGTTTCAGGCAGGGGTCTTCCTTAGCTGGAGATGCCAGGGATTGAACCTGGGACCTCTTGGCATGCAAAGTGTATGCTCTGCCAATGAGCTATGTTTCATAACAAACAGGGAGAGGAAGAGCAGGATGGCTGGAATGTGGTGGCACAGAGAGAAAGAGAGGAGTTTGCAATCCTGCTGATTCTCCAGCTCTACCGATCATCAGAGACGGCTCCTAAGTGACTTTCCTTGTAAGACAACAGCTCTTTATGGGGGGGGGGGGAGAAAACCCTGACAGCGATCCTCCTGTATTTCAGGCAGAGTGCTTCTTTCAGTCCTACCTGGTAATGCTAGGGATGGAATGTGGCCCCTGCTGCACACTTGAAGGACGGCAACTACTACTAAGCTACAGGCTTCTCTGTGACATGTGGGCCTACATGAACCCTTGATCTGATCCACCAAGGCAAGTCTTAGGTCCTGAGTTTACATTTAAGGAACTGTGGCTGAATGGTAGAGACTCACCCGCAAGGCCACGTCTTCAGTCCATGGAGTGAGTGAGGACTGAAATCCAGATGTCCTTTTTGAGGCATTATAGCCTCTTTGCTATACTGGCTCCTATTGATGATGATGACATATTTATGTATATCTCACCTTTTCCCCTGATGGGGACACAGGGTAGCTTACACATAAAAATGAGAACCTCTAAAAACATATAAAAAACAATTGTTAGAAGTAAAATTGTATACATATATGAAATCTATTTAAACCATACCAATAATTGCAATATAAACAGCAAGGCCCCACCCCTTTCATTAAAAGCAGTCAGTTCCCCAAAGCCTACTGAAACAAGAAGGTCTTCACCTGCCAGTGGAAGGACAACAATGAGGGAGCAAGACTAGCTTCTCTATGAATGGAGTTCCAAAGTCTGGGAGCAGCCACGAAAAAGGCCCTATTTTTCCTTAAAGTATATATAAGTTGCCTCTCTGCCCAAAGGTACCTGACAACAATAAATGCCAGTAATTCCTTGTCCTATGCCAGGAGTGGGGAACCCTAGACTCTGGGGCGAAATGGAACCCTCCAGGCCTGCCTATCTAACCCTTGGAATGCCCTTCCTCAGCCCTGCTTTGTATCCAAAAAGTGTTTTTGCCAGGCTGGATGTGTCCTTTAACTCTGCTCGTTTCTCTTGGTTGAATGGCTCAAGCATAGAACTCTGTGTTTGTTTGTAAAATGTAGTTTCCAATACAAAAGTAAAATTTAGAGGGGTTTATTTTTGCCTTTGGCCCTGCCTACCAAGGGTGTGGCCCTGGGAAGGTTTCCAAGAAAAGGATATGGTCCTTCTTGGGGGGGGAAATCCCCACCCCCTCACATGCCATAGTCTAGAAGACTGTCAGAACCAGAGTTGTTGTTGTTGTTTTAAAAAAGCCACGTGTTTTATTGCATTCTGAAGCACCCAGTGAAAAAATTCCTAGAGTGGAAACCAGAATTCCACACAGCACCTGCTCCCCACCCCTCCTCAGAATAGTATTTAGCACCCTCGATTTACAAAGGTTCATCTCCCACATTGAAGCTACCTTGGCGAAGTGCAACACAGCTTTTTCAGTTTAGCCTGTCGCACCTATTTGCCATGGGTGTTCTGAGTGACGTTTTATCAGTCAAGCTCACTGCCCAGGTTAATAGCCTGTAACAAAGCTCCATCTCAAAAACCGCTAAAGTAATGACAGAGCACGAGTCACAGAGGTGAAAGTTAGCAATTGCTATTGTACAGTCTGCCGTCTTATTAGTCACACCTTTTGTTAGAAGATCAGGTGAACATTGCTGCCGCTGACCTTCTGCACGGTGGCACCGAGGTGTTATCCAAAAACCCAGGTTCCTCCGAAGAACAAGAGGGGGCCCTCTTCTTAGCTCCAAACCTTGTGTGTGACTTTGCCAGCATGAAGCACAATCCACTGAAAGTTTCTCCTGCAGTCAGAGGAGACTGGTTTATTAGGGCAAAAGAGGACACTACCTAACTACCCTTAGTCTGCCCTCAGGCCACACCTGCCTGCTTTCTTTCTTACAACCAGGCAGAGGGTGGCTCTGACTGACATTGGCTTTGGCTCCACCTACAGTTAACCTCCCTGCCTTCCACCCTCATAGTCGCAATGAGCACCAGCCACCACTGCCTGCAGTAGACCTACATCACAGTGGATGATGGTAGCTGCTTAGGAGCACTGCCAAGCCCTCCTTTAGCTCCTGCACATTTCAAGCAAGTGGGAAAAATAGTCAGCAAACCCTGCCCATTTTTAATATTCACAATGCTATGCGGAAATATCTAAGTCATGTATCTCACAGAGACATAATGCTCCAAGTTATTCGCACGGATACAAAAACTTAGGGACTATGCAGAAAGGGCAAAACTTACCAGAAAAAAAAGAAAGAAATCAAGATAACAAACTTTTATTCCTATTAGGAATAATTGGGGATGAAATTAAAAAAGAAGATAAGATATTATTCCAGTATGCTACAGTTGCGGCTAGACTATTAATTGCACACAATTGGAAAAGTCCAAACACCCCAGCGATCAGAGATCAGCAAATAAAATTATTTGAATTTGTTGAATTAGCAAAAATGACACAAAAAATCAGAAACCAAAAAAATACAAAGTTTATTAGTGACTGGAATAAATTTATGGTATACATTGAAGGGAATTATAGAAACTTAAAAACTATAGCAGGTTTGATATAGATCTTACGATGCGTAAACCATTAACAATTAACAGCTGCAGGAAAAGAAAGTATTTTTATTAAGAAGCCCAAAATCGGGAGGGAAGGAGGTCAATAGGTGTGTAGAGGAAAGATTTAAAGATTTAAAGATATAAAGATTTAGGGAAGAAGACAAAGAACTGTAATGGAAACTGATGTTACTTTTGTGTTATGTATGGATACTTCTTTTGAAATTGTTGATTTGTTTTTTCTTTTGGTTATTTAAGTGAAACTCAATAAAAAGAAATGGGGGAAAAAAGATAACAAACTTTTTATAAAAGAATGGAAATGGTTTATTGAATATTTACACAAAAAATCGTAAATAGATAAGAACATTGGCAAGATTATTGTAATAACCTGCAGTTTTGTAAGAGTATATAATTAAAGTAGATGAATAAAAGAATGAGTTAAGTTAATTTAGAATATGCACAAAATGATAAAAATAAAATTAAGGAACCACAGAAAGAGGAGGAAAGAAGTTGAAATGTTAAAATGACTGCAAAATTATTAAAACTGATGTAACTGAAAATCATAAATTTTATGCTTTTCTTTAAAAAATGCTCCAAATTATTCTTCCCTGTCTGTGCTCAGTGTAGCCTTGGCTATGCTGGCTTTGGCTGATGGAAATCGCAGTTCAATCACATCTGAAGGCCACACATGTTGCCCACCCCTAGCGTAAATCTTGCAACATGTTTCACAAAGCTGGGTCTGCCTTGTGCAGCATACATCAGTTGAAGGTGGAAACATTGGCCACCTGATTCACTTGTCACCAGGATCTTGGCATCCTAAACTTTATATATTCTGTTTGGAGGCTGTCTGGCCCAAGGCCAGTTAAAAGGAAGAGCAGTGGAAGCCTCAAAGTGGCCCACCAACTGATAGCAGCAGGCATCTGAACTGAGCAGGCACACGGGTGCCCCCCCAGAGGCAGATTTAGGGCAGCGCCAGTGGTGAGGTTACACTGGGTGCACAGACAAGGAGGGCACCTTCTCAAAGCCTGGTAGGCAGTAGCCTGGCTTCAGGAGAGACATGTGCTGGCTCTGACAGGGTCCTAGAGTACTCCATCCTCCTTCCCCAAGCTGGACAAGCACTTACTGGGTTTTGGGAAGAAGATAGGAGGGCTCTAGGACCATACCAGAGCCTCACACCTCTATCTCAAAGCTTGGCTTAAGCTGGCGCTGTAAGGGTTGCGAGGGGAGGGTGTCAAACGCCCTTACACAGTGCAGCATATAACCAAGGTCTCCCCCTGTCTCCCCATTACACTCTTCTCTACTATGGGGAGAGGTATTGCATTTATATTTAAATTAAATTATATTCACCTCCAACTTTGCATCAGAGAGATCAATCAACTTCTCTAGTGCAAAATAATACCTTTGTTTTATAGCCTATATGCATTCTTCAATTAAGTATAGCAGAGTCCTGGCTGACTTAGCCGAATTGCAGTGATGGTTCCAGGACACTTATCAGTCGCTTAGCAAGTTGATTATTTGTGTGCACCCTATAACAAAGTGTCAAGTAATTGATGGTTTCTACAGCTACTGTTGCAAAAACAATAGTTCATATACAAAACTCACAATCTGAAAGCGTTCAGCAGAGGCCTACACTTTCAATTTTGTCTGTAGATTTTATTTAATGACAAGAATAGATCTGTTTGTTTCTCCTTCTTCTTTGCCCCATTTTTTAATCACCCACTTCACTGAAAAGCTCTTAAATGTCATGAAAGTAGGTCTTTTCCATCCTTGTAAAATGTCTGCTTTGTTTTTCAACAGTGATTACTAATAGCTATGAAAAGTCTTACACAGATGAGACACCAGCAGTTTTCACACTGAGACAATATAAATGCTCTTACACGTGCTAAAGGAGTTCTAGGTAGGCACTGTTTTGCAAACACCTTGTTCCGTATCTATTTCCAATGCCATCATGTAATTTTGAACTGCAAAACAATTATGGCTAATAAGACTTTAATTAACTCTGAGCACTTTATTATGAGTGCATCATATCTGCAATGAAGCAGTCTTGCTTCAGAGGCTAATTATCAGTGGAGTGATTTTATTTCCCTATATTTTAGTCAGAAAGTGGAAGAAAGTCCCTTACCCAATTGCAGGAGACAAGTTGCAAACATCATTCCAACTTGCTAATAGTATTCTGCAACTTGACAAATGTCACACTCTCTTTCTTACCTCTATAGCAAATGCTAAGATTTGAAGCTTGGGGGGGGGGGTTGCACCCTGTATTTATGGAGACAGGAAAAAATGAAGCTGTGAGTGATATAGCTGTACCAGCGCCCTGAGCTTACGGATGTGCTTTGTGCAGCTCAGATCTCAGTTCTGTTACTTTCATCTTTCCATTCTTTGTCTGAGGAACTCGAAACAGCTTACATATG